TGATTATACAGCGTTCCACTTTGTGTCTAATTATTAATTAAAAACTTAGATCTTTAATCAAAATATTTAACACGTGGAGATAGTGAAAATTCCTCATAAATTCGTACGTTTCTCGATTATAGAGTCACGCATATTCGACAGTTTAATATTTCACGACAAAGATAAGGTAATTATCCTGTAGATAAATCCAAAGTGCATTAAATTCATAATTGAGATTAAATTTAAAATCTCTTTCATCAAATTTTTGATTATGATTGGAAAATGGATCAAATTCCGAAAGTGTTACGAGATATCAAAATTCAATTACAACAAAAAGAAGAGAATGGATAAACAGATTGGATGTTTTGAAATATATTTGCAACGCGATATAATTGGCTTATCTTTTTTGCGCAACAAATAAAAAAAATTATTAGATGGACTTTTACATATTATTGATAAAAAACAATTTGAAATGTAAATCTGAAATGTTTCGAAATAAATAAAAATTCCAAATACTACTAAATATTGGATGTTTACATCGCGATTAAGTATACAAAACAAGCAATTTTATTATAATTTTAATAACATTCACCATATTTTATTCCCCCTGTGTGCACGATGTATTAAATATCAGTTAAGAACAATTTTAAAACAATAAATACGGGATTAATACATGATGTTTATGCCATGGAATTCAAGAGTATAATGAAACTTTCCAACTTTTTAATTTAATATGTTGAATTTGTCTGCAATTTCAGGGGATGCTTTTGTAGGTAAAACTCTGTACAAATTTTTGAGATAAAAATTTCAATTAAATGTCTTTAAATAGAATTCACAGTGAAAAGACTTTAATATCAGCAGTTCACGTTCCAATTTTCAATGAAACCTTTCTGTATACATGCACCATAGATTTTTGTAAATACTTTAGATAAATGGTAAAAATTATTTAAAAACTTCAAAGATAAAGATAGCAAGTAATTTCCAAACAAAGAACAATTCGCACATTTGATTCTGAAATTATTTTATTTTTTGTGCAACTTTACCATTTTTTTACATTTATCGAATGAATCAATTCATTAAGATAGTTGAAAAATTTATACCCTTGTTAAGCTCTAGCACCCCCACCACAAAAAATTAAAATAAAATATACACCAAAATAAAGTGCTATATATATACCAAAATATAGTGCTAGCTTAACAAAGGTAAAATTTATGCGTAAAGATTCGACAATTCGACAAAAATGAAACGCGATTAACTAATTTTTTCGTTGATTTATTTAAAACGATTGCTTGGTAATCTTATTATATTTTTATTCCACGTTACAGCAATTTTTTATGCATTCTCTCATGCTGAAAAAACGTTCTATATACAAACTAATAAAATTAAAATTTATTCGCGCAGATTAATTAAAAAAAAAGGACTATTTATAAATTTATTAAAATAAATAAAAAGGAAAATTGAATTTTCCTTCTATCCATCTCTTCGTTTTGTTATACGCTTGTTGCCTATCGCTAAAATTCATACGCTCGCTTCAGCCAAAGTCAATGTCTGTCTCTGGCGACAACTGTTCTTTCCGGAGCACCCAGTATACATGCAGTCGCGGTTATCGTTCGCGCGATCTTCTTCCGCTGTGAAAAATCTATCGCTTAGGTGCTGCCTGCTGTCCCACATTGCCACTCTCGCTCTGTTGATTCTCACCCGCCGCGCGAGTATGCATCCCCTCACGTGGCGCGGGAGGGTTACACATCGATCTACGCGGTGCCGCGTCCCCGACTCTTTGCTGACTGGATCGGAACGAGTCTAACAGCATCTCAAACAATGTATCCCGCGTGTCAGAGGCTCGGCGCTCGAGGCACCGGTTTGCGCCTAGTATATATGGGCGTATCGATTGTCACATGTTTACTCTCTTTCTCTCTTTCTCGCTCTCTCGGTCTCCCGCGACCCCGGACGTAACCTCGGCGTTGTACGTCACACAGCGGGTTTGACGGGTAGAGATGGTGTATTCTCGTTAGCGTCGTAAAACAAACGTTTTCCGAGGCTGCCGGTTCGCCGGATAAGCGTTGAGAAGAGCGCGGGGTTGGCGTTAGTACCGGCACTGGCGTTAATTCCGTCTCAGGTACGGTCAGGTCAGGTGAGCGCGCTTTAATCCGCGACGCATCAACGAAGTTTTTTGATGGTTTTGTCCTAATTTGTCCGTCGTCGGAGTCTCACGGTTTTCCCAACGCTTCCATCCAGCTTCGTTATGTTCGAATAATCGTATAATCTCTTACGTGCTTACCGTTTTTATATTATGGACTACAGCTCGTTACATATTACGAGCTAATGTTCGTAATATACGTGCGCGAGATGTTAGGATTAAGTTGAACTATATAGCTTTACTTATCTCAAGCAATCGCTATTGGTGCACCATAAAGAAAATATGTGTTATATATTGCATTATAAATATCATACAGCGAATAATATTTTTCCATATACGATAAAATATTTGTCATCAACGTGTATTTGTTTTGATATCGTTACGATCAATTTTGCGTGAGTTTACGCAGCTAAAGTGCGACGGTAAAAAGAACGCTGGAAATGTTTGTTAAAAGAAAGGACAATTCGGATATATTTATTTCTTTCTCGATATAATTTATGAGGAAGATTTATAAGCAAGGACATTGTCTTTATTGTACGTAAAAAGAGATTTTTGATGCTTGCTCTTGACATCAACGATTTTATCCCCGGACACGTAAGCTTTTATCGCACGGTTGTTCATTGAACCGAGAGCTCCATTCAACGGCGCTTCAATGAGCAAACATATAATATTGCGCTAATTGGTACGGTAAAACAACTAAATCGTTTTTATAGAGGTGCAAATACGCGCAATAACGTAACTGATATATTTTTGCAGAAAAAAAAGAAAGGACAATTTTGGAATTACATTTTTATGTTTTATTTGCGCGTATACCGCATTACGCCGTTTGTGTCTTTATACTTAATTTACAAGTTAATTAGAGTATATCGCACATCTCCAATAAATTACACGATAACAACGTACCTCGGAGTAAAATGGTAGTGTCCACTCGCAAACCACTTTAATTCCTTTCCTCCCGACATTCTGTACTATTTCTCCGCACTAGCAGAGATGTTAATGGCACAAATATGGTGGCGTAATGAATACACCACAGTACGCATGATTCTCAGTACTATCGGGAAAGGAGTAATCGAGAAGGAAAGCACACCACGGATAAATAGAACAAGCAAAGGACGGGGAACGGAAGGAGAGTATAGAGGCGATGGTAATTTCCCCTCGAAAAACGCTAAATGCGCTAATTGGCGGTGTCTACGTGCGCGCGGAGACATACATTTTCCACGGCCATTCATAACCTTTTAACGCGATTAAGCCAGTAGCGCTTGCAGCGAGAGCTAAAGAGCGCGAATGAACCCCGCGCACGCTTACACGGCGCACGAACCGGCGTATTTTTGTTAGGCGGGATTAGGGCTTACACGGGGAGGGGAGGGGCTCGGTCGGGCGAATTAAAGGGGTCGCCTCGTTATCTAAAAGGAGCCGGATTAATAACGCGATACCCCGGCTCTTGTCTATACAGCCCCGGGGGGTGTATCTCCATCCTCTTTCACTGGCGTGGCGGTTGATACCGGGATTATGTTGCGGTTAAATAATGATGCGTATCCCTCTCGACGGCACGACGAGATGACGGAAGCGTTTACAGACCCCCGACCCCGGCGTTACGGACGCTGGTAGCATCCCGTGATGTCCGACCGCCCCTAAATTGTTCCCGGTTTAATTCGCGGCCGAATGAACGCTCCCTCTCCTACTGCACACAGCCCAGCCGCGTGTAATATCTCTATGTTGTTATTAATTAGTTTCCACTTTTCGGAAGCAGGCGTCGGATAATGCATTCGCCTCTGGTATTACACGAACGCTTTCGGGGAAGCAATTACTGGTTAATACGATTAAGTTTGAATTATTAGGGCGATTATATATTATTGGCATAGTGCTAATGGCTAGAGTCGTTAACTTTCTTTGTCTTCCGCTTTAGGCGTTTCTTTGACTAGTCCGATCGGGCAGCAACGATTATAAAACATCCACAATGCATTTTGGATCATAATGCAAAATTTAATCGGAGAAATTTAAGTACACGTTATAACGTTTTATCGTTCGATTGCGGGGGTGGATTTCTCTGGGGCAAATAGAAATATAAATCCGTATCAGTTTATCCTGGGAGTCAATTAATGGGAATAAATGGAATAGTCAGAAATCAAATTAATCAAGAACTGTTTAATTGGCTCTCTCCGATGTAATCAATTCGGCGCGCTGCTAGTTATGTAACTGGCTCATATCTCCGTTTCCCATCATTAACAACCAAAATCATTCGAATTTTCGATTAAAAGTACGCGACGGACTCGATTTGGGAAAATAATAAATGTGTATATCTTATCTCAGGTCATCGTCGGATATAGCCAATTACTATGGCCGTGTTGACCTCAATCTTCTAAAATATAGAGGCGCGTCCAGTTATTTTTCATTAATGAGACTACCACCCTGGGCCATTAGTAAACTCATTGAACAAATTTGCTAGTTAATCTGCTAAAGGGCCGCGCGTGCGTTCACTTAGTGGTGGATTTAAGCGATAATTGGGAAAGCCCGGTTTGCGATTCACGATTACACTTATATCAACTTTATTCTGAAGTGGAAGCCAAGTTAGATCTTACAATCCAATACTGCGTGACTAACACTCATTGAAAGCTGTGGGATACTTTAGTGTTCACTTCACGATCGTAATACTTAGCACTGGGAGTGCTTTTTTGTAGATGAGAAACAATTTCTACGCGTTCCATTAATAACAGCAAGTAGTGATAACAAATAATATTATAATAAAAAAGAATAATGGATGATTATATTTTTTGAATTAAATTTAAATAATTGTTTCTGATTAAAATATATTTTTGTTCCATTTTTACTGGATGATGAGATCTGCTCTTTTTTAATTGCATGCATAACGTTTTCGAGTACGTACCTGGATGGTGTAAATTTAAAATCATAGAATCCTTTCTTAAGGGTGCGATTTATCTTCTTGCGTCGACACGCTGTTTTCGCTCGACGCTCCACAAAATAATGCGGCCGACTCAGCGGCGCAGCCGTCACACATAAAGGCGCCGTCTTTTTGCGTTACCGCGCTCGAGAAAGATACATCGCGACGTTAAAACAGGAATTCTGCAACAAATGTAAAAATTACGCGCTTTACCTCAGTCGCGTAGTTTTGCCGGGCGACTCAAAGGGAAAGCGAGATGCGCGCGACAGATGAAGTGCCCCTTGTACGCCGAGCAGAGGGGCTGCGGGCTGCAAAATGCGCGTATTACGTCCAGCGCATTCTTTAAACAATAAATAAATAATCGAGTTACATAGTGGAATCACTTGGATCCTTGGGGGACACCCTGGCGCACCAGCGGTTATTTTCGCGCGCGCACAGAAAAGCACACGCGGAAAATGTGCAGAAACGGAACTGCTTATTATAACGCTATTCTCAAGTAAAGACATGAAACAAAATAGTGATAACAAGATATAAAGCAAAAAGCTAGTCGTTTGGTTCAAATGTATCGTTATTTCGTTTTATTCTCACTTCTCTGTATAGTAATGCCAATATGTAAGGGAACGAGAGAGAGAGAGAGAGAGAAAAAAATAACATAAAACAGTGAGAAATGCAAGTGTGTCTTTGTGGAAGGAAAACTCCGTTTGTACTGCGGAATATTTTTCTTTGGATCTTTCTTTTCACGTTGTCACGCCCTTTTGGTTCTCTCTTTCTCTCTCTCTTTCTCTTGCTTTCTTTCCCTCTCTTTGGTCTCGCCAAACTATACGACGAGTCCAAGGTTTCTGTAGCGACAGCGAGATAATTTTATTTGAACGATGCAGAGTCGATGAAAACCATGGAAAGAGCCAAGAACAGTTCGTCAGTTGGTGACTCTTTTATTTCATTCTATCACTTTGCTATATACGTGGTGCAAATGTATTTTTGAGCTTAAACGTTTGCCGCTCAATTCTCTCTCCAGCTTTCATCCGTCTTTTATAATACACCAAGCGTGCGAGAATATAATATTCGTTTCCTTGAAAATACTAAAATATAAAATTTTACTGTATTAAAGTATCAAAGTAAAAAAAAAAAGAATATTAGGAGAAAATATACACCATTTTTCTCTCTTTTTCTTTTTTTTTCTCTCTCTCTCATCTACATAAAAAATTTGATACTTCAAAGAGAATATTTCAATAATAAGGGCTAAGATATAATAAAAAGTAAGGAACGAGAGCTTTCAATAAGGAACGAGATTGTGTCAATATTATATTAAGAATAAATACAAAAAGAAGTCAACCTAAAAGCGAATATCGTGAAGGAATAAATGATATGAAATCATAAGTGGTTTTGATTCTTATTAGGAAACGTACATGAAACACTCTTGCATTATTTATATAAAATAAGACACAACAAGAAATAGAATATTAACCTATAAAATATTTATTTTATAATATTTATATTATATTTTATCTTATTTGTTCAATATTCCATATATAACATTTTTTTCTCATATTTTTGTTTCTTCAATGGACCATTATTGTATATTGAATCCCGCTCATATCTTCTGTTTATTTCTTATTCTCATGCATTTTATTCTTATTCTCCATTGTATGGCTTTAGAACAGCCAAGCAACGAAGCAAGCGAATGTTCAGTCGAGGGAATCGAGCTTGCAATTTATCGCGCGATCACGCATAGCGCGTGCGGGATTTGTCGTGAAATCCTGAATTTTTGCGGAAAACGCGTTTGATGCAAAGAATCGATACCGTTTTCCCGGCATCCCTTCCGCGTGATATTACAGCGTGTATTTTGCCCGTGGCAGCCTTTAGTTAGAAACGACAAACATAACATACACACGAGATGGATCAACAACTACCCAATATCTCTGGTAACTATGTGGCTTTTGGCGTGATTACACAAGCTTTGAGCATATCCATGTTTTAGTAGTGTAAATCATACATTTTATTGGTCGCTTAAGCGGTATTTTCGCTTTGTTGTAAAACAGTGATTAAGTATTTCATTAAAAATAATAATATATAAGCGAGATTGCAATTTTCCTTCACGCTGATTTCATTCATCGCTGTTTGTAAATGCAAAATATAAATGAGTCTAAAACAATTCGCGTTGAATTTAGGTTGTGTGATAAAAATAGGCGGTAATATATTAAAAAACATGGGCTGTTTTTAAAAATCTATTATATAAATAAAAAGTAAAAAGTTTGCAGCCATCAAAAACAATTTAAATATAATAATTGTTCTAATTAAAAACTCGTACAATGAAATATCGAATATGCGATAACCTCTTTTAATCTCTCTTCATCGTTGTATTTATCTCATGTTCGCATTCGACGGACAAATGTATTTTTCAACGATATTGCAATCACGTGAACCCATCCCTCGACGCGCTCGTCCCAAAACCACCGTTTTCGTCCGCGAGACGCTTGATGTCAGCTAAACCGCTTACCAGGCGTCGAAACGTCGAAATCGCATCCCCGACACTCGCCGGTATCAGCGCTGAGCGTATATATCGTGGAGATGAATGCGATGACGACAATTCGTTTTAGGAACATTGCTTATAGCGCTCCCTCTTTCTCTCACCCGCGCCCGGCCGTTTCCTACCGCACCCGACCGACCACCCCCCTTCCTTTTATACGACGTACTATCGCTTCGGGATGAAAGTGTACGCGGAAATGGACGATTTTCCTGCTGCAATAGAACGGCGCGAGGAATTGCCTTGGGTATAACCTTTTTTATTCCGAGAATGGCGATTATTGCAGCGCATGGAGTCTGATCGCTCGCGGGAGTGACCGTCTGGATACTTTTCGTCGCTTGGATTGTAATTACGTGTTTGTGCGCCGTAACGGTGCATCATAAATTACGAGCATTGTGTAATTAGAGGTGTGAAAAAATGTGTAGGCGCGACACGTAAGTGCTTTGCTTTCCGCAGAAAGGTTAATATTCTCCACGGCCGACAACATGCTTTTAGTGTTAATTATAATCCTTTTGCGTCTTGTAAACTTCTATTCATTCAACCAAGTTGTAAAAGTCAAAGGTCGGACGGTTGCTTCTTTTAACAATTTCGTGTTTTTCTCACGTGTATTTCTACAGAATTTATTTTCTCATTACTTAACGTATAGCGTTATTGTATCGGCAAATTATTTTATAGTCTGTCAAAAAAATACTATATCGTATTTTTCAAAAGTATTGACACGCTGTGTGGAAAGTTGTAAAAATATAAAATTACATTAAAAATAATTACATTAGATATGATTACTTTTAAGAGTCACAAATATGGAATATAATTTTCTTTTTGTAAATATTTCAATTATATACAGTAAATATCGGAAAGTAATAAAAATCTCGCAGAGAATTTTATATGACTATGAATATTTTTTTAACCTGATTTTTTATTTTACACATCAGGTTAGCTACGTGAATGTACTTTCTGCTTTAGTTTTATGCCGCAGTTTGATTGGCAGAATAAATCCGTGAGTGTGTAATAAACGACATTTACGAGGCTAATAAACTGTCTAATAAAGGGATAATCCGGTTATACTGTAACGTTTCATTATCCACACAGCCGGTTTAAAATGGCATCCTCTTGTTGTTTCCCAAAGGAGCGGAAGAGATCGTGATTTTCAAATTTTCTGAGCTTGCTATTTTCAGCGAAACAAAGCAACATCCCGTCTATTACTATGGGAATAATATAATTAAGTTCTCGGTTCTTGTTTTCCGAAACGAAAGGAGGAATGGTGTTCTTCGTGGCGCTGACTCATCGCGCTCAGATCGAAGCGGGTTTCGTAATATGAGAGAAAAAAATATTCGTGTGGGGAAGTAATTTGCACATTAGTGCAGCTGAGAATTGTAGTCGAGACGCACGAATCGAACGAGTTCGCTGAAACGTGTTGTGGAATTTCGGAAGCGCAATACGCGCATCCACCGTTTTCGATCTGGCGATGTAGTGAATTAAGCGTTCCTTTGTTTCCCGCGCTCGCAAGGAAGGCGTTTTGTTCTCATAAGCGCGAAGTACACACGGCTGGCCGAGCAAATTAGTATAATGAAATTAGGGTTCGGCGTTGCGTTTTCTGGGCGAGAACGTAAGTAGCAATTCGGTGAGTGCCGACTCATCTATTTCGCAAACAAGCGCGAACGTACCGAGCGTATCGACAACACGAAGAAACCCCGCGTAGTAATTTTGACCTGTGCACATGTTCAATTTTGCAAGTGCTGCAAGAGCGAGTTCGCTCTGAAATCTGTTTGCTGCACAGCAACACTCAGCCATCAATTACGAAAGCCACATTATGCAATTCATGCTATGTCGAGCAAAATATAACCGTTAATTAGCAATTTATATTACTTCGTGTAGTTTGGCTAGATATTAACAAACGTCGAACAAAATCTCAATTTTCGTGTATCGGACAAGTGGAAAATTAAACGGTGCACTCGGACCTGCGCTATTTAAAGAATCTCGCGCGAGCAAAATGGTAACGGGGTCTATTTTCATCCTTGGAAATTTACCTTAAGGTGTAACCGCTTCGATCCTGCTACGAAGGATATAATAGCGGAACGATCGAGTTGATATTGAGCACACAGACGAACCAAGCAAGGCGATTCACAGATATGTACGTATCTGTGCGGAATCGAAGGTGTTGGCAAGAGCGAGACTGGACGAAGGTGCGGCGGCCTGTTCATTCCGCCGGGAAATTCCGGACACTTCGACCCTGCGTTCGACCCCGGTTCGCAGCTCGTTTTGCCGGTACGTGACCGAGATACCGGCTTGCACTCGCTTATCCTCTCATTACTTTCGGCCGGTTTGCAGCGGGGCGGTCATGATTTTTTCGCATCCGGTAAACGGCCAATTAGACGCTGGCGTGCTTCCTGAACGCGCTCCGCATCAGCATCTATTCTCCGTCCGCATATAGGTTCTTAAACATTTTTATCAAAGACTACACGAGATGGAGAAATCGTTAGGTACGGTTAATGAGGGTAAATGGGAGAAGAGCCGGCGTAGCGGGAGAGAGTAGCTACAAGGCGCATGTTTACAGCTGCAAAATGATAGTGCTTTACGGAAAAACGCGCTGCGTACGAGCGCGAAATAAGATACGTATCTCGCGACGTCAATATTTAAGTGGAAGCCTGTTAAAGCAAT